GTCGCGGCGCTGCCGCGGAACTCGGCAGCGGCGGTACCGCGGCGAGAACCTTGCGAAAATTGCCTCGTTGAGTTCCAGCAAGTCTGTGGTTGACGCTTTTTTGAAACTAAACTTCTAATATTAAGCTGAGCATTATACCGTGTTCGCAAGAAAGCGAGACTTAACTTCTGGAATTCAGTCGTTTTAAGAAAAACTTTTTATTTCAGCAGGGACCGCTGCGAGCCTTTGCCAGTTCCTGAGGGAAAGCTGCGCCTCGGCTGGAAATGCAGACAGGAGCGAACTCCCAGGTAACTGTGGCCGGGGCCCGCAGGGGACGGGAGGCGGTGCCCCGGCGCTGTTCCCCGGGAACTGGCCTGGGCCGCTTCGTGCTCGAGGCGAAAGCAGTCGGAAAGTCAAGGAAACCCAGCCTGAGCCTGCAGCCGGGCTGCTCCCGCGCCTGCTGCCGAGAGCTGATGGCGTTTCCGCTGCTGAGCTGTTAGGAGATGGCTAGATAGATTGGACGTGAGGAATGAAAGACAAGGGGTTTGGAAGGCAGACAAATTTCAATCCAGTTTAGCAAGGAAGAGTAGGAAAGGGCTCGTTTCTCATGTCGGTGGTGTTTTGGTTATTTTCATTACTCTGATGATGCCTTCTAATTTTTTTCCGTGGAAGCAGTATTTGTCTGCTGGGTAGCAATTCAGAAACCCGATCCACAAATATCTGTTAAATCATTTTATCATCTTACAATAGGTTTCTGAAGATCTGCTGTAGTACTTTTAGAGGTTGGGTGTTTGTTTTTAATTTTTATAAAGATATGCTTTCACAGAATCACAGAATGGTAGGGGTTGGAAGGGACCTCTGTGGGTCATCTAGTCCACCCCTCCTGCCGAAGCAGGGTCACCTACAGTAGGTTGTAGAGGACCTTGTCCAGGCGGGTCTTGAATATCTCCAGAGAAGGAGACTCCACAACCTCCCTGGGCAGCCTGTTCCAGTGCTCCGTCACCCTCAGAGGGAAGAAATTCTTCCTCATGTTCAGACGGAACATGTTTCTTCCTTCTTTACTCGGTTTGGATATCTAGTGTTGAGCTGTTAGGGCTCATCTTGTCACAGCTGTCATCAAATTGTGATTCCTGTGGAGAAACCACTATAAACTGTTAAAATTCATGAAAATGGGAATGTTTAGCTGTGTTTCAACTTCTGTGCTTGTTATTGCATAGAAATGTTTAGAGAGCATCTCATTTTGTGAACTGCGTAAACCCGTATTTATGAAAGTTGTGGTTTAGTTCAGGTATGATACAACTTCTGCAAAAGGAGAGCAGTAGTGAAGAGGTCCAAGATCTTCTTACTTGTTAGCAGTCAGAGGATCATTAATAGTTAGACACTTGCCAAGGCACTTACCTACACCTTAATATATTTAGAACTTAGTGATAGTGCCAAAGGAAAATAGAACTCAAATCATTGTGGCACATTAAATGACTTGTGTAGTCTTTCAACAGAGATTATAATAGGAAGAATAGACTGTAGTGGATTGATTATTCTAAATAATTGTTTTGTCTCTTTGCAGCATGTTCCGTGGCTGGTATTCCATGTGTAAAGAAGTGGTATTTTGCGAGTCATGTCATATGCAGTTATTATCAGGTAAGACATATGTTTTTTCAGACTGTAAGTTTCTCAGCAGTCTGCCTGTCTCTAGTTCAAGTTGAAGCTGTGATGTTCAGAATTCCTTTTGCTTAATTAGTTCTTTTTGCTTGATTAGTTCTGCAGTTCTGACTGGGAGGAAATAAATTTTGACACACAGAGAAATGAAGACTCTCTCCAAACAAGTATTGACGAATGCTTGGGAGTCAGACAAAATTTTGAAGAAGATGACAATAACAGTAGAGAGTCCCTGTCTATGACTGAGTATGCATTTTTTTTTTTTTTAAGGTATAGTGATCTGACATTTAACAAGAATAACCCAAGGGAATCAAGAAAATTTAACAAGTAAAAGTAATTACCAAAGCAACATTTAACTATGAACAGTCCTCTATTGCTGCTGAAAATATTTTGTTTAACATAGCTGTAATTTTTTTAGCTACAGATGATTTTTGTAGGATAATTGAACAGTTTCCTAACAGCTGACGGTTATATAGAGGAAGTTTGTTGCTAATCTGTCTTGAATCCTACCTCAAGTTTTATTGCAGATTGTTTTGAAGTCATTTAGCCTTCTGGCTCAGTGAAAGGGGAGAGAAGTATATTTCATTGCCTAGGTATGTTTGTGCAGAATTTTAAAGAGATAAGATACTTACATCGGGTAGTATTCATTAGCTCTAACTTTTTATTTCTAAGTGACTTTGCTTATATCTTGTTTTAACTGTGTTGCTCTTTATTTTCAGCATCTATGAGGAAGCTGCAGAAAGCCTGCATCAGTTAGCTGACAAACTGCCTGCCCCAGGTAATCTCTCTTAAAAAAGAAATCTCATTTGAGTTTCTCTTTTTAGTTATTACTCTGAAAACTCAGCTGGCAAAATCGTAGTCGAATTGAAAAATTCAGGGGATTTTAGTTTGTTAGTTGAATTGACTCGTGTGCAGCTCTTGCTAGTAGTTTAAGGAAACTGAGCATAGCTGACATTGCAAATCAGCTTACAGAGTAGTTTGCTGCTTGTTTCTTTGGAAGGCTGTGTTTCAGTAAAGTTGAAGGTAGCTATTTGTATAATTAAGTTTTGCATCTGAAAGGGCACCAAAGTAGTAATAGACAGTAAGCCATACGAAACTCAACATGCAGCCACAGGAAGTTTTTATGAAAAAAATGAAGGTGTTGACATCAGGCGTTCATCTGATCTGCCAGCTGGTTGCTTGTGGGTGGAAGCAAAGAAGCTGTGAAGGAGCATAGAGCAGAGCTATTGGATTCAGATTTTGTAAACTGGAGATGCAGATCACCTTGTATGTTAGGGTTACATAATGTTGCCATAGTTGATTTGGGATAGAAAAGGAACTGAATGAGGAAAGAATGAGAAACAGGCAGTTTAGAGATGTTAAAAGGAGGGAAATGGCATAGCGTAGTTGTACTGGAGACAGGGATACAGGACTTTAATCTGACAAATACAGTGCGGAGTGAGAGAGGGGAAAGGTGTAGAACTGCTGTAACTGAGCAAACAGCAAAATATTTAACTTCATTTTGTGTTAAACTAAGAAGAGCAGCGAGAGATGAACTAAAATGCAGTCTGGGAGAGTTGTGGTTGTTCAGCCTGGAGAAGAGAAGGCTCCGGGGTGATCTTATTGCTGCCTTCCAGTACCTGAAGGGGCCTACGAGAAGGCTGGAGAGGGACTTTTTACAAGGGTATGTGGTGACAGGACAAGGGGTAATGGCTTTAAACTGAAAGAGGGCAGATTTAGATTAGATACAAGAAAGAAATTCTTTGCTGTGAGAGTGGTGAGGCACTGGCACAGGTTGTCCGGAGAAGCTGTGGCTGCCCTCTCCCTGGCAGTGTTCAAGGCCGGGTTGGACGGCGCTTTGAGCAGCCTGCTCTGGTGGAAGGTGCCCCTGGAGCTAGATGATCTGTAAGGCCCCTTCCAACCCAAACCATTCTGTGATTCTATGAAGTTTTAAGCCTTGCTGAAGTTACTTAAGGTAACTCTTTAAGCCATTTCAGTGCTGTCAGTAATAATCAGTACTTTTCTGGCTATAAATGAGTGGACCATTTACTGAATAATGGTACTTTGAGTCACATATAACTGTTTTTAAGGCAGAGCAATGGTTGATGTAATACTGCAAGCTGTTGAACAAGATGGACCCAAGTTAAAAGACTGCTTACCTGCTATTGGTGCCCTGAAACACCTGAGAGAATGGCACTCGGCGCAAATCTCCATGGCAGCGAATGACTCCAAAGGGTATGCTCTTTAGTTTAGGTGTACAGACAAGGTCACTCTTGTTTCGTGTTAGTATATGGCAGTGTTTTGTTTTGAAGCATTTTATTTGAAACTAAAACACTGTAGTGTCTTTAGTACTTTACATGTATATTTTGCAAGTATGTAGATTTGTGTTCTGTTGTTGTTTGAGGGGGGTAATTACTCATACTAGTTTATTGTAAATGTGTGCCCTTACCAGTGAGGCAGGCAAAAAGGCAAGCCCTCTGAAGTGCCTGTTACTATGAGAGCAGAAAGTAAAATACTTTCTTTTTCACTTTCCTCCCTATCACTAGTGTCTTCAGTGTGCATTCTGTCTTTTGAAGATTTACTATGCTACACAGTAACTTGTATTGATATATAGTTTTCCATGTTTTGTCAAATGAATGTAGAACTCCGCGGGTTGTACTTTACATTTTGTATTACCTTTGGTATGACATTTTGGGGGGGGGGGGGAAGTACATGCAGTATCAATGCTCAATTACTTCATGTATGCTTCCGAAGAGTCGTAACACTGAAACTATTAATTCAATTTGAAATTAAATCCTGTAATTTCCTTAATATCCTCCTCTAATTGACATAAATAGGCCATGATGTGTCTCAGTGTAAACCACAGTTGTTATTTTTTTTTCCCGTGCACTGAATTATTGTATTGGTATTTAATAACTTGGCACTTCACCCTCCACACCCAGAAGATTCAAGTTTGCTTCATGGAATATGGGGTTAAGCTTAATCCTAAATTAACAAAACTGTGTAAAATGAAAAAGTCAAATGCCATATACCTACTATATAGTACTTTCTAAAGTATACGGAGGAAGATGAACTTGTTGCAGTGACTTCCATGAACACTCGATCTCAGTGCTCATTGATATCTTCCTGTGCAACTGGCTTTTGACTGAAGAAATTTTTCTGCTGCCTTTTCTGAAAAATGAGACTATTTGGGCATCCAGTTTCTGTGACGAAAGTTTTCTCACTTCTTCTTCCTGTTCTCTTGATGGTACCGATTTCTCTGAGAAGACAAACTGCCAGTGTGACCCACAGATACTGACTGTTCTCTCTCTCGCTTGTTGTTGAATTTGGGTAATACTTGTGCTGCAGGCATATCTCTACTTACAAGGCTAACTTCAAACTCTCCAGATGGACCAGTGATAGCCTCAGTGATGGATGCCTGGCTTTGCTCCAGCTTCTGTCACCCAACCTTGTTATGGTATGCCTGCAGCTTGCCATTGCCGGGGTGATTTGATGTCTGGCTGAGTTCTTTGCTGTCACGTTCCTGGAGGATATGAACAACTTCCTTTACAGAGACTGAACCAGCAATGCTGTAATATCTTGTACTTTGTGGAATATAAAGCTATATATGTCTGTCATAACATAGACAAGACTATTCAGTGCTAAGAGGTAATAGGTAAATTCAGTCAACTTACACTGCGTGTTAATTTGTAACACTAAATTTGGTAAGATTAATTCTTCCTTGTTTTTACAGTAGTTGGCAAAAGATTGCAGACTATCTATCAGCAGACTTTGTATCCTCAGATAATATCATGAATGTTATTGATTTGAAAGAACTGTGGAGAGGAAAGATTCAGATATGGGAAAGAAAGGTAAAATAACTTTTTAAAAATATGGTTATTTTTTTAAAGCATCTGTGTACATCATTTAAAGCATGTATTGTACAGTGCATTTTATGCTTTAAGGCAAATTTGGTTTTGATAGTGTAATTCAAAAAGGCAATGTGCAACGTGTCTTGGTGGGTGGGGGAACAACTTGCGTTTTAGTATGATGAAAGGATAAATGAGATCAAGACGTCGAAATTTGAATTTCAGAAATCCAGGTGCTCTCCTCTGAAATATTTGCCTTAGAACTTCTTGTTCAAAATTAGATTGTTTTGTATCTATCGCAAATCATTATCATGTAACTCTGCAAGTCATTGTTGCAAGCACACATCAAGTGTTTCTGCAAAGACTAATAGCTCTGTGATTGTGAAAGACATTGTTTACACTTTCAGTATTAAGGTTTTGGATATAGTAGTTGGTTTCCTGAGTCTAATATTTTTACTTAGTTTTATGGATCTGCTGGAAACAAATAGAATACTATTTGTTTAAAATGATAATACACATAACTGGCTGAAGAGAAAGAATTTTTCTCTTTTGACACGTTTGTTGTCTCTTTATTTTTTTCTCCAAGTTTGGATCAGAAGTTAGGTTTCCAGAATTTTGTATGAAGAGCCCTTCAGCAAAGACATTCAGCACTTCACATTTAAGTTCTTGCTTTGCCGTTAAAAAAGGGCGACAACCGAGGAATACTGATGCTTTGCCAGAGGTAAGTATTATTCTTGATCTTTCTTTGAGCCACTAGAATTCATTTATTTTACTTTCCTGAGAAAATAAGTAATTGGGAAAACCTTAGTCAGAATTGAAAATTAAACTTAAAAGTAATTGAGTAAGATCGAGGAATGCTACTTTTGCTCATGCATGTTTTCAAAACAAGTCCTTAAAATTTCATCTGTTTGTTCTTCGGAATGCGATATCAAGACTTTTCAAGTTGAAATTGAGACTTTCAAGTTCAGTCTTAATACTCAAAATATGTAATTTATTTGTGAATTCTGCATTTATTTCTACTTCATTTGAAAAGTTTGGTGATGGTTTTTTATTACTGTTGCTGTTTCTTGTTTTCCACTGGAATTAGGTATTTGATGGGAACTCTAGAATCATGTTTGTTGATGAAAACAAAAAGGAGTGTTTATGAAAAGTGATATCAATGAAGAGATGATTATTTTGATTGTTAAAAGATGTACATTTTGGATTGCATTTGTATGTTCCTGGTAGATTTTATTTTTCTTTGCTTTTGAATAAGAATTACAAGCCATTTGATGGGTTGACATTCTAGAAAGTGAGTTTTGTTAGACAGAATTAAATACCTTCCTTGTTTTCTATAGAATTACCTTTAATATGGTATTGTACAATGTTTTTATATTCCTTTGTACCTCTTTCAGATGTACTTGTAAGGCAAATGCCTCCAGCAACACACTTGAGAAAGTTCTACAGAGATAACATCATATATGGTGTTACAGATGTTTCATTTGATCTCGTTTCAGGTTTTTCATTACTACGGTCCTGCACTAGAATTTTTACAGTTGGTGGTGCTCTCTGATCTGCCCTCCTGTTTTATATCAGATCTGGAATTCGAGCTGTATCCTTTTTTAGGGTTCTAAACTACTAATGGCAAGGTCGATAGCAGAAGGAAAACAATCAGGATCTATCCATGCAAGTAACACATGAGGATTAGCAAGGACTCATTCTATTCCAGCATGCCAAAACAGTCATAGTGATTCTTCACAAATAGACGTTATGTCGAAATATAAATTGCACTAAAAAATAGTTGCTTATTGCTACGTTATTGCACTTCTACTTTCTCTGCTGATGTGTATGCTGTTTGCGGGGAAAGAACAGAGAAATATTTACTGGTGTTTAAGTTTAAAAAAACCCCAAACCTTACTCCTTAATGTATGTAGTGTGTTTTGCAATATAGAAACATTTTTCCAGAAATTGTGTTTTTATTGTGTAGGTGCAAAATCTGTGACAAGGTGTGGTGGAGGACTTTTGTCTTCAGTTGTGTATGCTGCAGAGGTCTCAAGGTGTATTCATATTGGTTTTAAATTTATGTACTTTTGATATGAGTCTTGGTGTAACAATAGCATCTTAGGCTGTATAAGCCTGTTAGGATTTTGAATATATTGTTATCTGTTTATGCCTGCATATATTAAAGGTGTCAGTGGTCCTATTTCATCATATAACGTTTCCAAGTGCACCACTTTACCTGGGCAGGTGAGTTTCATATCTTTTGTGGTACTGGAGTATCAGATATTATGCACTTGGAATCCTTATTTTAAATCTGATGGTAGCAATGACCTGGATGAAGAGTTAGAATGTACCCTCAGCAAGTTTGCTGACGACACCAAACTGGGAGGGAGTGGTGGATACACCAGCAAGCTGTGCTGCCATTTAGCGTGACCTGGACAGGCTGGAAAGTTGGGCAGAGAGGAACCTGATGAGGTACAACAAAGGCGAATGCAGGGTCCTGCGCCTGGGGAGGAACAACCCCATGCATCAGTACAGGCTTGGGGCGGACCTGCTGGAGAGCAGCTCTGTGGAGAGGGACCTGGGTGTCCTGGTGGA